TGACCAAGGAGGATAGAAGGAGAATTGATGCCTTTGAGCTGTGGTGCTGGAGAATAGTATTGAGGGTACCATGGACTGCTAGGAAAACAAACATTCATCCGGGAGAGGGTTAAACCGGGCGGCTCCTTGGAGGTAAGGATTCTGAGGCTTCGTCTGACATACTTTGGACATGTTGTAAGGAGGGACCGGTCCTTGGAGAGAGACATCATGCTTGGTAGAGGGGAGGGACAGCGCAGGAGGGGAAGACCCTCTATGAGATGGCTAGAATTAGTGATTGGGGTAATCGGGATGGGTGTGTCAAAGGCGGTGTGATTGGCACAGGACAGAGCAGGGTTTAGGGCTGTTGCACATAGATGCACTGTAAGTCACAAGTGACTCAGCGGCACGTTACAACAACAGCATCTTAGAATCTTTGTCACTGTATTCTCTGTCTGGTATCCACAACCTCAGTGGTGGAAGAAAAGTTTATTCTCCTTGTAAGGTCTTTCCTTAATCTTAGGTGCCAAAGAGTCCCATTTTTTTTACCAGTTTTAAGACATTTACGTTTGTTTTTTGGCTTTGTTTTTTTTTTTCTTTCTTCTTTTTTCTTATTGTGTATCATCTAATCGTATCTGACTGTCATAGAAGGACATTACTCCTCCTTCTCCAGCAGAGCACCTGGTGGATTCAAACCCCATGCCTTCAGGATTGTAGTGCAGCTTCTTTCCCCAAGCCATTAGAGTTCCTGGTATATTTGGCTTTTAAATATGTATTGATCTCTTTTCATTTTAAGGGGAAAAAATTCTTATGTACTTCATAACTGTTTTATTTCCCCTTTCCATAAGGTGTCAGATCTTTTACGCTCATTTGTACCTTATTTATTTATTTTAAATTTTTTTCTTAATTTTGTGTGAGTGTACCGTCAAATCAGATCTGACTGGTACAGGAGGAGATTGTCCCTCCTTCCCCGGCAGAGCATCTGGTAGATTAGAACCGTTTGCCTCTGGGATTATAGTTGCAGCTCCTTGCCACTAGGCCACCAGAGCTCCCTTGTACCTTATTTATTAAAATAAATTTCTTGTTTTTTTTTTGGGGGGAGTTTTCATTCATTCATTGTTGCACTGTTTTCCCTAGCCTCCTCCCCAGTTCGTTCTTCTCCCCCTTCCCCCTTGGATGTCTGTTTTAATTGTCCAATTGCCACAGTGTTTGAAAGGGGATGGCATATTCGCTTAGCTACTTCCTGCTTAAAAGGGACGCTATAGGTTTCAGGGTGAAGATCTTCTCTCACTACTCTAAAGGGCCCCTTTGGCA